AGAGGATACACCTGCAATTTAAAGTGCAGTTTTCCTCCTGAGAGGTATGTGAAAATGCCACTGTCGTACTCACAGCCTGTGAGACCGACTCTGGAAAAAGGCAGATTCTGCTTTATTTTTACCATCATCAACACTGAAGAACCAACAGTGCCCAAGGGAGACTGAAACAGGAAGACAAGGGCTGCTGGCACTAGCCAAGGAGGTGGGGCAGAGCCTGGCCTACCCACACCAAAGAGAGGCGAGAAAGCACTCCCTCTGCTTGTAGCAGAGGAAATGAACTATGCACCCCCCTTTGCCAGCCCTTTCTTTAACTTCTGAAAGAAACAGCTTTGGGAGAGTGAACCGGGTTCTCTTCCAAACCACACAGCATCGGAGCACAACAGCACTTCAGGCAGGTTGTTGGAGCCCCTTTGCCCTTCCCCATCAGAATCTGAATAACAGGGGTAGGGAGGGTCTGTGATTCCCGAGAAAAAAAAAGAAAGAAAGAAAGAAAGAAAGAAAGAAAGAAAGAAAGAAAGAAAGAAAGAGAGAGAGAGAGAGAGAGAGAGAATATATATATGTGTATGTTTAAATAATATACTTAAAAGAGGGTTAATTGGTCTCCTGGGAGCTATAAGGAACTTATTAGATTCCTCTATGTGAGGGCTAATTACTAAGCCTGAATTATTCTTTTTCTTTAGGAGAGGAATCTCAAAGGTCCTTATTAAAACCTACAAACATTCTGAAGAATGATGGCATTAGAATTTGTTCAAGTGGCTCACAATCCAGGCCAAACAGGGAAGTTGTACTCAGCCCTTGAAAAACCAACAGGCATCACCTAAGCTTGATTTATCTGCGTAGCACCCAGCTGTGACAAGGGTAAACAGGAATCATTGCATTGGATACCTCTAGCTGGAAATATGATATATCAGATTCTTCTCTTAAAAAATCAGTGCGCCTTTTTTTCTAAAGGTGAGAAAAATTCACATATTTGCAGTGTTCTGGTAGGGGCCATTTCACAAAAGGTCCAGCTCCAATACACGATTCAAGCTGATTAGTTTCTTTCTGCTATGATTTTACAGAGTTAGACTCTTTGGGCAGTGAGTAAAAATTGACAAGCGACCACAAATAGTTCTATGGGATTTCCTGGTCCGGCTTGAAGGCTGGAGGACTTTGCAGGGGAGCATGTAATCTGGCTTCTCAGTAGTCAGTCAGCAAAGGACCAGCCTAGAAGATGATGGGATGCCATAGACAGCAGTCTGCTTTGTCTCTCTGGTTTTGGTTCTTGTGTGTTAAGGTTATGGATTATGGGGTTATGATGTTACAACCTCCCTGAAAGGGTGTGGTGTTCTTTATCTGATGTCCCTGCATGAATGCAGCAAATAGAACAGGCGGGAGCATCACTTTGGAAAGATAAAGACACCTGGGCCACCAACAAATGGATTCCAAACATGATTAACCTGGGTCTGGCCTGAGACAATGTGATGCCCAAGAGCAAGTCTGAGACTTGCGACTGGCAAAAGGCCGTTCTGCTAAGAAAGGAGTTCCTCTTGTTTAGCCCTCATCCCACCAGTAGAGCATGGCGGGCTGCGGAGGGGCACATTTTGCAATGACAAGCTTAGTATTATTTTGTTTGACCCATATTCTTCATTGCCTGTGTCCTTTCTTCACTATGCCAATGAAATTTGCTCTCACAAGAAAGTCTGAACTCCATTTAACTATTAAATGGAGCCATTTAACTGGTTAAATGAGAAAAATCTTACTCACGTATCTAGAAGGGACTTGTCCGAGAAGACTGAGTCAAAAGTGAGGCTTCAGCACCTCCTCAAAGGGAAAGGAGTTGCAATTCTGCCTCAACAATTAGAATGGCAGGCCTGGTGTGGGTTCAGAGTGAGCCAAATGACATGAGCAGCACCAGGATCTGTTGCAACCTGTGTGCTGAGTGATTTTAATCTGTGATCTATATGGTTTGCTGAACTGATATCCATAGAAAATGAAGTCCTCTATCCACAATTCTGGTACGGCATAGGCCAGGGTCATGATGTGTCTCAACACTGATCTGCAGGATCCAGAATTTAGTGATGCAGACAATTATAAAAAACAAATCACAAAATGCTTCTAATTAGAGCTGCAAAAGATCTATAAGGTGAACTCACTCATTCCGCAATCAGCGAGTGTGTGATGACCAGGATAAAGCTGAGGCTGTATATAATTACAACTTTCAACTCACTGTGTAGTCAGACTCTATACAAGGTTTTCATACATATGCAACATTTGGTAAGTGGTAAATTACTACGGCAGCCAGCCATGGTTTTGCCCATCCCAGAAGCCTTGTGCCTTCCTATAACAAGTTTCTAACAGTTATTTTGCTGTGACTAATCTGACAAAGCATGCCAGCTTAACTAATCCAGGTGGGCTTATATACACAGAGTGCATTGGCCAACCTGTGGCTGATGCCAGTCCAGATGCTCTGTGCCTTCTTGTGGTCCAATGAACAGGGCACTGGACTGGTAGCTCAGAGCCGGGTTCTAATCACAGGCTGATACTGGGTCATCAGTGCAGTAAGTCAGTTCATCTCTTTGTATCTCATTTTCATCACCTGCACAGACAGGGGCAATGATACTTTCCTTTGTAAACCACTGTGAAGTCTAACATCTCTACCTTACGGTCAGGAATTTTCACTGAACTACTGATGGTGGATATTGTGCAGGAGTAATGGCTAGGGATGTAAAATCCCATTTAATTGGTTAAATGACTAAATGCCACAGGCAGGGGCTGCTCCCAGCCCCACACAGGGACTATTGCCATCACAGCTCATAGCCCTTGTGTGGTTGCTGCTGCAGCTGCCCCTGACGGCTCCCACGCAGGGCTGCCAGGGCTGAGCTGTGGGTGGGGAGCTGCTTCCTGGTACCAGGTAATTGTTTAACTGACTATCCATTAACATCCCTAGAAATGGAAAGTGAATTTCATATTTCTAATGGAGAGTTCTCACTAGAAATCTGTTAACCATTATGCTCACTCAGCCACGAAACACAACATTAGAACTTCATGTGTGTCCAACCAGAGCACCCGGAATATCAAATTGTGACTATTCAGTTTTCAAAGTGATACTTATTGGAGTCTGTGTTCAGCCCGTAGAATGCCATCTGTTAGTGCAAAACACACAATTGCAAACAAAGCATCTCTTCACCAACAACTTTTCACTGGAAAAAATGGCTACATTCAGTAGGTACATATAATTTCCAGTTCTCTAAGTGTTCATGATCAGTAAGGCTCTGACAAAGACTCAGAAGTAAATATGGGTGGCAGAGATAGAACAGAACTCAGAATTCCACATTCTATGCCATAACCAGGTAGTCTATCCCCTTCCTTCCCACCTGTGTGGGGAGAATTATTTCTGAATCCAGTAAATCCTCTAACTGGGCACAACCTTCATAAAAACTGGACTGTGCTCATTAACAATGACCCATTTGTAAAGAAACTCACCCAAATAAACTGTTGTGGAAAATACCCTTGTATTTTGTGAATGGCTTTAAAAATAAGCAACATACAAAAGCACCACAATGTTTAAATGAAGTTGGCTTTAAAAAAAATCCATCATAGAATATAAATGCTGCCTGAAGTAACCAATGGACAGAAAACTGGGGTATGTTTTGCTAACAAAAACCAATTCACAGTCATTAAAGACTGTACATGTGACTAAGTTGTAGACAACACCAGCTATCACATTTCAATCCCTATAGCAATTGCTTTGTACATTTCATTTCGGTCTCTCAACCTATGTGTACAACACAAGGGCCTATTTTTTAAAATAAGAATACCACTGACTCATGAGCAGAACTGACCCAGTTGAAGACCTGCATCAAAACCACGGCACTGGACTTAAAAAAAGGAACACGTTTTAAAGCATAAATCATCTGCTGACAAAGCTAGAAATTTCTTTCAGTCGCAGTCAATTACTCTTGACAAAGCAGTAACACACAATTTTCTCCTATGTGCTGGAGCTATATAACCTTCCAAAATACCAGTTCCAGTAACTTTATACTCCCTTAACTGCTCTCCAGTATCACTGCTCAAGCACTAACTTAGCAGCACACTGCCAAGTCAAACGTCACCCAACATTTAGTTTTAAACTTTAAAGTGACAAGAAATATTTTCATGGCTTTTGAAAAGATTCTTTAGTACCTTAGGTGTCAAAGTAAGGAGGCAGGCAGGCCCTCCAATTTGCTTCCTTCAGGAAGCCCTCTGTCCTTCCAATAGCTTTGGCTGGAAAATTGACTAAACCTGAAAATTGCCACATTTACTGACGTCAAAGATGACTCTTTCCACAGAGACTAGTAGTTACTGCCCCTGCACAGGCTGGAGTACACCAAAGACCTATGGAAGGAATAACACACCAGCAGTACCTCAAAGTCAGAGGCAAGGACTGTGGATGCTTCAGCAGCTAGGCCTTGCCTGCTCAGTCCCAGTAACCAGACTCAGAGCTATGTAAAAAGTCTCTTACTAGGCCTGGCAGGAAAGGAACAGGTTGCAAACAGCTTAGGTACTGTGGCTTAACCAATTAGTATTCAAAGGGCACAACAGCGGTTCTTGCTTGCGCCCCTGGGTCAGTTCAAGTGAGTCAGGACTCTTCAAGCTTAGTGCCCGAAGTGCCTTCTGCAGTCAGGCCAGTCTCTATTAGCGAAGCAAAATGCAGGACAATGTAGCACTTTTTTAATTGTATCCTTTGGTATATATGGTTGTGACTATTTTCTTCCACTATTTGATCTGAGGAAGTGGGTCTGGCCCATGAAAGCTCATCATCTAATAAACCATCTTGTTAGTCTTTAAAGTGCTACATTGTCCTGCATTTTGCTTCAGCTACCCCCAGACTAACACGGCTACATCTCTATCACTATTCTATTAGCGAAGGCACTTTCAGGCTTCCAGACCAAGCTTAGTCATTGTCTTTCACTGGCACCCCTCTGCACAGACTCCTGTCTAACTGGTGCTGCCCCTGCCCCAGAAGCACCAACACAAACCTGCAGCTAGGTGGGATGTCTGACAGTCACAGCCTGTTCCACGTGGGACTCTGCAGATAGGCCCTGGGGGATCTCCTCTCCATCCAGCTTCTAGCACTTCCTGGGTAGCCATGCAGCTGCCCCTTCCCAGGAGAGCCCAGTCACTTCCTGGGTCAAGGCCCTTCCCTCCCACCTAGCTGGGAAAAGGGATTCACATGTGGAAAAGAGGCTGATGGGAGTTGTAGTCCCCCACTTAGCAGGCTCACCACAGGCTGAAGAAAGTGCCAACTGTTTTTGAGTGGCAGATGATTTAAACCGTTACCTGCGTTTGAAATTTCAACTGCTCCCAGCGTCTTTTTGTCTCCCTTTAGTGCACTTAGCTTACTGCACCTTCTAATTTTCCAAGTGCTCTGAAAACTCATCTGCCAAAATATAGAGTCGAAGAAACCAGAAACTGTAAAAGAAAAATAACAGTAGCCCGTCCTACTTTGTTGGCAAATCCAGTGCTGTGCATGTGCACTTCAAAGTAAAATTGCTCAGCCACTGATTATAAATATAACACTGAGCTATTTTCAGTGTCCAACCTGAGAGACATAGGGTTGCCAGATGGTTTCAACAAAAATACCGGACACACTTGACGTTACATCATAATGTACATTACATCTTATTTAGAAAATACCGGACATTTATATTTTCTCAGTTATATTTTCTCAATTTGTTTCCCGAACAGAAAGCTCAAATACTGGACTGTCTGGTTCAAAACCGGACACCTGGCAACTCTAGAGAGACATGTAAGCATTATCCAAACAAGAAGGCATGAAAATCACTGATTGCACTGTTGCACTAAGGAAATATGGCTAGAACATTTTGAGAATACTGATGGTACAGTCCTGTCCTGATGCTAGGGCCCGAGCCAAAGCGTACCAAAGTCAATGGGCATTTTCTATTGCTTTCAGTGGACTTTACTTTAGACCCACATGTGCTAGAGCAAATACCTTCACACCTGTTCCCACAGTAGTTTATTCCTTGCTATGTAGCCATTTTGCTGTGAAGGAGTCAGCATAAAGTCTCTTCCCAGCCTAGGGTTGCCAGGTGTCCGAAAAGGCAAAAGGACCCAGATAGTCCAGTATTTTCGCCTCCTGTCCGGTAAAAAAAAAAAAAAAAAAAATCAGAAAATCCCAGACAGTCTGGTATTTTCTGATTTTTTTTCCCTGCCAGGAGGCGAAAATACCGGACACCTGGCAACCCTACGACATACTCAGCAACCGGGCCCAGCCCTCAAACCCCCGCCGGGCCCTCCCGGACCCCCACTTACCTGGTTCTGCAGGGGCTTGTCTTGTGGCTGGAAAGAAAAACAAAATGACCACTGGCAAAAAAGCCTCTTCTTAAAGGGGCAATGCTGATTTTTTATTTGTTAGGTTTTTTTGCTCAACAACTTTGATCTCCCCCCCTTTTTTTCTCAACAGAAAGTTTTCCCCAGTGGGTTTTTTTTGGGGGGGGAGGGGAATGTTCAGTATTTTTGGTTAAACCATCTGGCAACCCTATCCCAGCCATGCCACTCCACAACACCAAACAGGTCCACATATCTGGCTGGGTGCCCATAGTGCATGGGAGTGGCTTGGAAAGCAGCTGGGGAGTGTCTGCGCATATGCAGAATGCACATGAGTGTCAATTCATCACAGCAGGGCCGTGCAGTCACCCAGCATACACTTTAGAAGACTTGTCAGGCTCACCACTCAGATCCACGCAAGCCTTTCAGTTTTATACATGTAAAATGTTAGCAGCTCAGGTAAGGCTCATTTTTATATAAGACCATGCACTTTTTAAAATAGCAATGTCCCTTTACAACCATGAAATAGGTTGTAAACATAGCTCCTGCTAAGGTGTGCGACTACAGGGCCATGCACAAAAAATTACCCACCTGCCCACCTACTTTGCAGAGCTGCACAGCAGCACTCACATTCCTGCCGGAAGGTGAGTGGCTCAGCAGGCGGCTTCACCAGGCTTTGGCGGAGTGTGGGAGGGGATTGCTGGGGGGGACTGAGGTGATGGGGAGACGGGACGGGGACTGGGGCGATAGGGAGACAGGACGGGGACTGGGGAGACAGGACGGGGACTGGGGCCTGCTTTGGTGGCCAGGGCCAGGACCTGTCATGTGGCTAGGAGAGGGTTCCCAGGACCTCCTTAGAGGGCCGGGGCCAGCTTGGGGGGCCTACTTGTGGGGTGGCGGGCTTGCTAATGGGGCTAGGAGTCTGGGGCCAGTCATGGGCCTGCTTGGGGGGCAAGGACCATGTGGCGGGGGGTGGTTGGGGGGGG